ACAGACAACCTCTCGTCAATATGCGTTTTTTGCATTGCATAACTGCAAAAAACGCATAAAAAACGCATAATAATATAGAGAGAAAGTGTAAACACCTCATCGCGCAGAATGTCTTGAGAATGGGAAACCGATCGACGAGGCGCCATATCATCTGCACCAATATGTTCTGGATTGTACTGTTCCTACAACCACGAAGTTACAAATTCCTCAAAACAAATGCTAATTACAGAGGTGGAAGTGTACGCACCTCGCCGCGTCGACTTTCACGCGACTGAGAAATCGATCGTTTTCGACTTGCCATACCATCTACACCAAACTGTTCCAAACTGTACTGTCCCTGCAATGATAAAGTTGCAGAATCCTCAAAGTAAAGCCAAATAACTAATCATAGTATAAAACCATAAGCACCTCGCCGTGCTGAACTTCTCGCGATTGAGAAACCGATCGACGAAATGTCATGTCATCTGCAGCAATCTGACCGAGACTGTACTGTTCCTGTAATCACAAAGTTACAAAATCCACAAAGCGAATGCCAAAAAAGTAGTTATGGGCTGGATGCATAAGCACCTGGCCGTGCTGAATTCCTCGCGATTGTGAAACCGATCGCTTTCGAGGTGTCCGATCATCCGTGCCAAACTGATTCAAACTGTACTGTTTCTGCAACCACAAAAACACAAGCTTCTCAAATCAAAAGCCACAGAAATAAATGGCTGCCACCCTAACTGCCGGTGCGAAATGCATTTTTTGCACAGTTCCCTGCAGGTTTTTGTCGCTAGCGGCATTGTTTTTCCGGTAGATATTCTAGCTAAGAAAATTGATACTGACTACCAGGGCTGTCTGAAAACATCCCTTAAAATTTCAACTTTCTAGCTTTTCTGGTTCTTGAGTTAGCAACTTATCCACCGAAAATTTTCACCAGCCCGTATGTGAGAACCAAGAATAAATAGGGACAGAGCTTGAAATCATTAGGTTCTAAGCGGATGAGGGGCATTCCCTTAAAATCTTAGACTTTTAAATTTTCAGTTCCCCGAACTAGTAACTCACCCGCAAAAAATTTTAGCGGGACCGTATTTAGGGACTGCGCATACCCGTGGGCTGAGTTTGAAATCACTAGGTCATCGACGGGGGACATCCCCTCAAAATTCCAACTCCCTGGCTTTTCTGATTCCCGAGTTAGTGACTTAACCGCCGAAAACTCTGACGGGTTCATAAGTAAGAACCATATAAGTGCGTCCAATTTGGGGGATGGGACCGTACGTGCATGTAGATTAAGTTCCTAAAATTTCAGCCTTGTAGCTTTCACAGGTCTTGAGATGAAAAATTGGTACAGACGCACACCCAAACAACTCCTCATCAATATGCGGTTTTTAAGTTGCATAGATGCTAAAAAACGCATAATAATACAGAGAGAAAGTGTAAATACCTCATCACGCAGAATGCCCTGAGAATGAGAAATTGATCGAGGAAATGTCATGCCATAATCTACACCAATCTGACCCTGACTGTGCTGTTCCTGCAATCACAAAGTTACAAAATTCTCAAAATAAAGCAAGACAACTCCCCCCTTTTTCTTTTTGATACCTTGCATGTTATTTTTGCTGCAACCGTCACACTGACGAGGTCCAGTTGCGGTACTGAACACGAGCGTATGCGACTTAATGGACCGAAACATTTCTATTCAGGTTTTTTAATCCGATTTGTCTTATTCACCTTCCTTTTATTCCTTTCTTTTAAACCCTTACTTTTTACATAAACACACATCATCTAAAATTAAAATTACAATAGTTATGGTACGAAGTTATTCGAACCTCGCCGCGCTGAATTCCTCGCGATTGCGAAACCGATCGTTTTCGAGGTGTCAGATTATCCGCGCCAAAGTGATTCATATCGTACTGCCCCTATAATAACAAAGTTACACATCTCTCAGACTAAAACATCAAGTCGTAACAGAATGATTTTATAAGTACCTGGCCGCGCTGGCTCTCCCGCGAATGGGAAATCGATCGCTTTTGAGGTGCCATGGGAGCCACGGCAAACTGGTCCAAGCTATACTGCTCCTGCAATCATAAAACTGCAAAAATTTCTGACAGCCAAAACCAACCCAACAGCTGCAGAGCGATTTCTTACGCACCTCGTCGCGAAGATTTCCCCGTGATTGGGAAACTGATCGTTTCGTGGCCATCACATCATCGATGCCGAGCGCACCCGATTTCTGAAGCCGAATATTTTTTTTTTTTTAAAATTGCATATTTGATCATAAATCCCGCGAGAAAAAGCAAAATTTGTACGCACCGTACTGTGCACGCTCTCCCTCGACGCGCTCACGAATCGCTTCATAACTGCTTCACTTCCACCGAAATTCTAAACTCAAAATCTTTTATTTTTATCTAAGAAAAAGATTTGTTCCAACACAACGATATATGCTGCCTCGCTTTCTGCCGATGATCTATGAATAATGATAACTGATTCTTAAACTCGAAGCTCAGTACCTTTACTTTGCTGCCTTCAATG